ATGATCTTGTGATTAAATCCCTGGTACATGTTTTTTTTTTTTTTTTCTTTTTTTTTTTTTTTTGAGACAGAGTCTCGCTTTGTTGCCCAGGCTAGAGTTGCAGTGCCGTGGCGTCAGCCTAGCTCACCAGCAGGCCTCCAACTCCTGGGCTCAAGTGACCTCCTGCCTCAGCCTCCCGAGTAGCTGGGACTACAGGCATGCGCCACCATGCCCAGCTCATTTTTTCTATATATATTAGTTGTCCAATTAATTTGTTTCTATTTATAGTAGAGACGGGGGTCTCGCTCTTGCTCAGGCTGGTTTCGAACTCCTGACCTCGAGCAATCTGCCCGCCTTGGCCTCCCAGAGTGCTAGGATTACAGGCGTGAGCCACCGCGCCCGGCCTTGGTACGTGTGTTTTGACAAGAATACCCCAACAGCGATGGGTCCGTGTAGCTGCGTTAATATCGCCAGGCACGTGATCGTCCCATCCCTTTACTGGGGCTGTTGACTTTGATCACTTAGTTCAGCGGATGTTTGCCGGCTTTCTCTGTCGTAGTTACTGCTTTTTCCTTTGTGATTACGAAGTACTTACTTGTAGGAGAGTCGCTTTGAGACTAAATATTCTGTTTTCCCTCCTGCTTTTCCTGTCCTGATGTCGGCATGGCTGACGATTCTTGTCGCTGAGACTGGTTTACTCTGGTGTCTGTAGGCTGGGCCTTCTTCTTTAAACCTATCTAAATTCTTTTCCCCCCCGTTACTTTTTACTTCATTTTCCCCAGGTTAACGTAAATGATAAAAACTAAAAACGGAACCGATTCAGGTTCCCAGAGAGGGTTGGAAAAACAAGGCTTGGGAGAGGAACAGAGGGGGAGTAAGAAAGAAAGCCAGGGAAAGAGGCCGAGAATAAAACCAGAGAAAGTGCAATGTCAAAGCACAAAATAAGGCCAGCCACGATGGACTCACACCTGTAATCCCAGGTCTCTGGGAGGCGAGGCACTCTCAAACACACACTGAGAGACATTCCACGACATGATCAGCCAGCACGCAAAGGTGTCGCGTGCCAGGAGTTTGAGGTGGGTGTGAGCTAGGCTAACGCCACAGCACTCACTCTAGCCTGGTGACAGAGTGAGACAGGAAAGGAAACGAAAAGAAAGGAAAGGAAAGGAAAAAGGAAAGGAAGGGAAAAAGGAAAGGAAAGGAAAAAGGAAAGGGGAAAGGAAAAAGGAAAGGAAAGAGGAAAGAAAAGGAAAAAGGAGAGGAAAGAAAAGGAAAAAGGAAAGGAAAAGGAAAAGAGGAAAGGAAAAAGGAAAGGAAAGAGGAAAGGAAAGGAAAAAGGAAAGAAAAGGAAAGAGGAAAGGAGAGGAAAGGAAAGGAAAAAGGAAGGGAAAGGAAAGGAAAGGGAAAGGAAAAAGGAAAGGAAAGGAAGGGAAAGAGGAAAGGAAAGGAAGGGAAAGGAAAGGAAAGGAAAGGAAAGGAAAGGAAAGGAAAGGAAAGGAAAGGAAAGGAAAGGAAAGGAAAGGAGAAAGGAAAGGAGAAAAAGAGAAGGGAGGGGAGGAGATGAGAGGAAAGGAAAACTGTAGATGGTATTGGTAAAATGGTGAAACAGGATGTCTATCTGTATGAAACCGTTCCTAATATGTACGAATGCCAGACAGCAGGAGAAATGGGTTGAGTCCATCTGTAGCCAATACCACACCCCTTCCGCCACTTCCTCCAGGCGGCGCACGCAGGCTCCCGCGCGCCCGCCGCCCACCTCGCCAGCAAGCCAAGCAGCCTCCCCTTCACCCCCAGCAGGCGCGGACCGGGACGCGCAGGGCAACCGGTGGCGAGGCTGCGCCGGAGCCAGCGGAGCCAGCCCGCGCTCGGTCCCCAGCGCATCAGATCCCGCGCGCCGGCCCGCACCCGACCACGCTCGGGTCCCAGCGCTCAGATCCCCGCGCCCCGGCCCGCACCCCGCCCCACGCTCGGGTCCCGGCGCTCAGATCCCCGCGCCCCGGCCCGCACCCCGGCCCGCGCTCGGGTCCCGGCGCTCAGATCCCGCGCCCGGCCCGCACCGGCCCGCGCTCGGTCCGGCGCTCAGTCCCCGCCCCGGCCCGCACCCGGCCCACCTCGTCCCGGCGCTCCAGATCCCGCCCCCCTGGCCGCGCTCGGGTCCCGGCGCTCAGATCCCCGCCCCCCCGCCCGCGCTCGGGTCCCGGCGCTCAGATCCCCGCCCCCCGGCCCGCGCTCGGGTCCCGGCGCTCAGATCCCCGCCCCCCGGCCCGCGCTCGGGTCGGCGCTCAGTCCCGCCCGGCCGCACCCCGGCCACGCTCGGGTCCGGCGCTCGATCCCGCCCCCCCCTGCCGGCGCTCGGGTCGGCGCTCAGATCCCCGCCCGGCCCGCGCTCGGGTCCCGGCGCTCAGACCCTGCCCTGGCCGGCGCTCGGGTCCCGGCGCTCAGATCCCCGCCCCCCCTGGCCGGCGCTCGGGTCCCGGCGCTCAGATCCCCGCACCCCGGCCCGCGCTCGGGTCCCGGCGCTCAGATCCCGCCCCCTGGCCGGTGCTCGGGTCCCGGCGCTCAGATCCCCGCGCGCCCGCCCGCGCTCGGTCCCGGCGCTCAGATCCCCGCGCCCCGGCCCGCGCTCGGGTTCCGGCGCTCAGATCCCCGCGCCCCGGCCCGCACCGGCTGGAAGCCGTCCCCGGCGGCCTGGGCCACTCACCGACGCCGGGAGCAGCAGCAGCAGCGGGAGCAGCAGCAGCCCGTGCGCCCCCATGGCTCGCAGCCGTGGCACTGCCGGCAGGCGGAAGCGGGGCTCGGGCTCGGGCAGGGCCAGGAAAGCACATGGGCCGCCTACGCTCTGGGCATGCGTGGCCTCCGGGCTGGCCGCCTGCCAGGATCCGCCACCACCCTGCCCTCCTCGGCCTCTCCCCAGTCTCTGCCCTCCAGTGCCCCCAGTGTCCCCTTTCAATGGGGGAGAGGCCAAACTCCCTAAAATCATTTGATTTACTCGGAGCCAAATTTGAGGACGGTGACCTGGCTGTGCCCAGGCAGCCTTGAGCAAGTGGACTCGCTATGGCTGCGTCACAGCCTGGTTTCATGCATTTCAGAGAGACAGGGGTTACAGGTAAAGGCATCAATCAATACGTGGAAAGGTACATTGGTTTGACCCGAAAAGGTGGGCCATCTCGAAGGGGGGAGGGGCTTACAGGTTACAGGTGGGTTTACAGATTCTTTGACTTATAGTTGGTTAAAGACGTGAAGCTTTGGCCAGGCAGGCTCAGTGGCTCACGCCTGTAATTGTAGCACTCTGGGAGTGCTACAAATTATTTATAAAAATAAAATTTATAAAAATAAAATTTATAAAAATAAAAATAAAATTTATAAATTTTTTTTTATAAATAAAAAATAAAGACATGAAGCTTTGTCTAAAGGCTTGGAATGTTTCCACATAAGGAGCTGTTAGAGCTTTTCTCTCCTTCCACCCTGGCTCCGCACGGTTTGGGTACCTTTGCCTAAATGGCCACAGGACCTGCCAGACGTGGTCAGGGGCCCTGGAGGGCTTGCTGCCGCTCTGGGCTCTGCCTGGAGGTGAGCTCGGATCTCTAGGCAGGGCAGGCTGTGGCCTCTGCCTCCCTACTGCTCCCCAGAGAGGGGGCGGGTGTTGGGTGGAGCCCTGTGGGGAGAAGCGATGACCATTCATTGCATGTGACAACGTGGCTGGGTCATGGTGCCCAGATATGGGTGCCCATGATTCTGGATGTTTCTGTGAAGATTTTATTTTGGTTTTCTGGCTGAGATTAACATTTAAATAGGTGGCCTTTGAGTAAAGCACGCGCCCCCATAGCATGGAGCCCTCACCCAGTCCGGTGAAGGCCCGAAAAGAAGGAAGACTGAGCTCCCAGGGCAAGAGGGATTTTCTGCCGCAGACAGCCTTGGCCCGGACCACGCCGTCGGCTCTCCCAGGGTCTCCACCTGCCGGAACGCCCCACACACTTGCCAATGATTGCTTGAGCCAGTTCCTTAAAATCTCTCTCTGACTCTGTCTCTTGCTCAGTTTCTCTGGACACCCTGACTCACAGCTCACGGGAGGGCAGGAGGGGCGGCGGTGTTTGAGCACGGGGCCTCGGGGGGCCTTAGCTGCAGCAGCAGGGAGGACATGGTGTCTCTCCTATGAAAACAAGGGAGGGGGATGCAGATTTCAGGCTTTGGGCAGGAGTTGGGGAAGTTCCCACTGACGGCTTCTCTTTCTTCCATGCTGTGCTGGGGGCGCAGTGGTCATTTCTTTGCGGAGCGCCCCCCACGGGCCACACACCGCACAAGGAAACGAAGTCCCGAGACAAGCAGGCCCAGCCCCGGCTGGGTCCTTCTGCAGCTGACGGTCCCTGAAGGGTCACCCATAATCCCTGCCCAAAGGGTTGTGAGACCCGCTGTCCCCCCAACCTGGAGGGCCCCCTGCGATGGTCAGCTCTGCGTGTCCACTCGGCCGGGCCGCGGTGCCCGCTGTTGGTCAAGCCCCAGTCTGGGCGTTGCTGTTGTCAACGGGGAGAAAAGCCAAACTCTGCAAAATAATTTTAAAGAGATTTATTCTGAGCCGAATTTGAGGACCATGACCCGGAGCCACGCCCAAGAGGCCTTGAGCTAGTAGACTCGATGTGGCTGGGTCACAGTTTGGTTTTGTACATTTCAGGGAGACGGGGGTTACAGATAAAGTCACCAATCAATACGTGGGAGGCCTATATTGGTTTGGCTCAAAAAGGTGGGGCATCTCGAAGTGGGGGCTTACAGGTTATAGGTGGGTTTAAAGATTCTTCATATTGTAATTGGCTAAAGACAAGAAGCTTACTCTAAAGGCTTGGAATGTTTTAACATAAACCGTTTACCAGAGATAAGCATTTGTTGCATAAATTAAGGACCTGCAGGTGTGTCTAGCATACCCTTAGACCTGTTAATGGATTACAAAGGAAATCTCCAAGAAGGGAGGGGGGCATGATAAGGCCTGTCTGACCTCCCTCCTCCTGGCAGGAACTTTGCCCTAGAATATTCCTTTGGCCACGAGGGGGTCCATTCAGTCAGCCAGTGAGGGGAGTGGGTGGGCATTTTAGTTCACACTGTGAAGGTGTGTTCAGGCGTGACCAATGTTTAAATCAGTGACTCTGAGTGAAGCAGGTGGCCCCACCCAGTCAGCTGGGGACCTCAGAGCAGCACTGAGGCTTCCGGGGAAGAATGACCCGGAAGGACTCGGGCCCGCAGCACGGAGCCCCAGCCTGGCTTCCCGTCTGCTGGCCCAACCCCACAAATGCGTGAGCCAGTTCCTCAAAATAAGTCCACCCTTCTGCTCCTCTCTCTCTGTGTCTCTGTCTCTCTGTCTTTGGGGAATAGTAGTGCCCTGCACCCTGAAAGTGAGTGGGGGGTCTGGGGGCACTGGAGCTGGTTGCAGAGTGTGCCAAGCCAGGCCGGGAAAGGTGACTGCCAGGCGGTGTCGGGGTCAGCTGGAGTCATCCCGAGCAGGTGCCCGGCAGTGGGCAGCAGCCCAGGTGTGCGAGGGGCGGACTCTGGCCTGGATCCCGAGGGTGGGTTTGGCCCTGCGGTGCGGGGATGAAAATGGGCCGAGGGAGCCCAGGAGACCGCGAGAGAGCATTCTCGGTGCTGGCCCCAGCGCTGAGGGCCGAGCAGGAGCCGGGGCAGGAGCGGGGCTGGGAAGGCAGCCCAAGACCAGGTGCTAGGGTGTGGCCTCGGCAGGGTTGCCAGGGTCACGCCTTCAGCATCGGGGAACAGTATCAGGCCTGTTGTTGCGCAACTTGGCTGGCAGCAGCCATGTCTGCCAGGCAGGACTTACACAGAAGGCACCGGCTGTTGACATCCTGTCTGAAGGCCTAGAGACTGGGGGGTGGGGGGGTCTGGGGGTGGCGGGGTCTACCCTACCAAAGCTCTCTCCCCAACTCCAGGAGACGCTATGATCACCAGGATTGCTGAGTCCTCCTTCTCTGCCCATTTTGCAGATGAGAAAACTGAGGCTCAGAGAGTCCAGGAGTCGATTTGCTGTGGAACCAGAGAGTAAACTGTCCCACTTCTTTTTTCTGGCGGAGAGAGGAGGCTGCTCAGGAAGCCCCCTCCACTTGGAGCTCTGTAGCCGCCTGGCCCAGCACCCCGCCCTGTCCACAGCCCCCCTTCCTCTGCAGCCTGGTCCCGAGAGCACCTGCACAAGTCAGCAGAAGTCATATCCGTTTCACAGTGGCCCTTTGGCAGCAGAGAGGATCTCCTGGAGGGATTCCACCGGTGACCGGAAACCCAGTCTAGGCAGGGAGGAGGAGGTGGCCAGATAATAAGGTCATATAAGGAGATGGTGAAAACTCTGAGCCTTGGAAGGGGCTTCCTGTGGGATTTGTTGCTGTGTTTTCTATTGTTTTGCCTTGTATATCCTGTTTGGGTGGGAGCAAAGCCTTCTTCCCCGGCCGGGTGATAAAAAGGTTGGAGACAGTAACCATCAAGACCTCTCTGTTTTCCCCAGGCATAGGGAATGTCCTTGGGGACCAGGTGGGAGGTGGAGGGTGGTGTTGAGGTGACCCTCCCCTCCCCCGGGCAGGGGGTATCAGCGGATCTCTACTGGCAGCCTGAGCTCCCACCCCCCACCCTGCCCAGTTGCTAGAAGGGTCCCCTGTGCTGCCCCCCCCATCGCTGTGGGTCACGTGGGAACCTGGACTCCACCTCCACCTGGCAGTGGGGAGCCTGCCCACCCTGTCCCCTGGGCGGTGCCAGAGGAGGGTGCAAACATGCGGGTTTAAGTAAGATGCTGAGTCTCAAAACACGTCACCCAAAACATCCAGCATACGATAAAAAAAAAAAAAAATTACTTGTACCAAGAACCAGGGGCATCTCAACTTGAACGAAAAGAGGAGGAAATGAATAGACAACCACAGTTGCGGTGACAGGGATGTCAGAATTGTCCCCCAGGGGTTTTTAAACAGCATGGTGGCAAAAAGCCTCGGCAGGCCTGCAACAAGCGAAACCATGGGCGATCTCCGTGGAGAAACAGAACACAGAAAGCAGAGCCAATGGAGACGACAGACTTGAGAAATACCTGAAATTTCAAACTAACCCAAAGAACACAATCAAAGGAGCCTGGTGCCGGGGTCAAAAAGAATGAGTCTGGGAGGGGGCAGGGGGGTTGGGGGATGGACACACTTGAAGCTCTTACTCGAGGGGGAAGGGGGGCGTGGGCAATATACGTAACTTTAACACTTTGTACCCCCACAACATGCTAAAAAAAAGAAAAAGAATGAGTCTGTGAACTTGAAGAGAGATTAATAGAAACTACCTGTGGGACGAGAAAAAAAAATCCAAAGTTTGTCAACTAAAGAGAAATCAGGCTTTTAAAGAATTCGGGTTAGTTTTATCTGAGTCTTGCTAAGGGTCGAGACCCTGAGCCTAGCAGGGTCTCTGTGAGGCCGCCCAGGGCTTCCCGGGGGCCACTCCTCTCCAGCTCGGAAGTGCCAACGGAGAAAAGCCAAACTCTGTAAAATAATTTTAAAGAGATTTATTTTGAGCCGAATTTGAGGACCATGACCCGGAGCCACTGCCAAGAGGCCTTGAGCTAGTAGACTCGCTGTGGCTGGGTCACAGTTTGGTTTTATACATTTCAGGGAGGTGGGGGGGGGTTGGTTTACAGGTAAAGTCACCAATCAACGTGTGGGAGGCGTACATTGGTTTGGCCCGAAAAGGTGGGACATCTCTAGAAGGGGGGAGCTTACAGGTGGGTTTAAAGATTCTTTGGCTTGTAATTGGTTAAAGACATGAAGCTTTGTCTAAAGGCTTGGAATGTTGTAACATAAGAGCTGTTACCAGAGATGAGCCACCAGACAGAGATTTGTTGTGTAAATTGAGGATCTGCAGGATTGTCTTACCTACCCTTGGGCCTGTTCATGGGTTACAGAGGATGTCCCCAAGAAGGGAGGGGGCATAAGGCATGTCTGACCTCCCTCCTCCTGGCAGACAATTTAGTTTTAGGATATTCCTTTGGCCACAGTGGAGGGGGTGTGTGTCCATTTAGTCAGCTGGTGGGGGAGGGGGGGAGCCTTAAAATTTTAGTTTGGTTTATAGAAGTTACGTTTTGTTCCAGCAAATCTCAGCAGGGTTTGGCGTGAGGGCACCTGTCTGGCCCAGGCTCGTTAATCCCATCCGGACGGGAAGAGGCAAGGGAGCCTGAGTTTATCTTTTCCTAGAAACGCGGGACTCAGGCAAAGATTATTGTTGTCGTCAGGGCGTTTTCTGCAGGGCTGCCCCGGGGAGTCTGTGACATTCTGCTGCCAGCCGAAAGAGGCCTCTTTGTGTCCCCAAGACACACCCTCAGAGCCCCAGGAAGAGAGGTGAGAGGGTGAGAAGCTAAAACACATTTGAAGGAGGAAGAGCTAGAAATGACCTAAATTTGGGGAAAGACGTCAACCTGTCGATTCAAGAAGCGAGGGGACCCTCCGCAGGATGAAGTCCAAGAGATGCACACGGGGCTCGCTGCAGTCACGCTGCCCAGCGGTAAAGGCAAGAAAAAAAAAATCCTGAAAGCCGCGGAAGAGAAGGGACCCCTTCACTCACCGCAGAAGCAAGTGGGACGGGGCAGACTTCCCACCAGAGACCACAGAGGCCAGAGAGAAGGGACAGAACATTTTTCAAGCACTGGAAGAATAAGAACCGTCGATTGAGATTTTTATGTTTCCCCAGGAAGGAATGTGGATTCAAGGCTTTCTTTCCCAGACGAAAGAAAGTGCAGAGAACTGTTGCCAGCAGTCCCATCCTGCAAGAATGGCTAATGAGAATGGCTTCTCTTAAATTAGAGAAGCTTGGACCATCAGGAAGTGAGGACTGACCTCTGATTTTTTTTTTTTCTTTTGCTAAAAACTTCCTAAGGAGGCCAGCTGGGTCAGGCTGACAAACGGTAAATTGCCACTAAGCGGCTTTTGTTAACCAAACGAAGTGATGGTTTACTTCCCAACCTGATTCCGGTATGGCATTAACATCACCTAAAAGATAAGAAGCCCCTGTCTTAACTCAAGCATCCTAGCAGATGCCTATTCTTAAATTTAAAGCATCTTAAAGCATCCTAGCAGGCGCCTATTGTAAATTTAAAATATCCTCCTGTCTGGACCTCCCAGAGTGCCCACAACCTTATCTTAAAATAAGCATATCCATCCTGGTCTTCTAGATAAAGTCTAACTCTCTCAGCCAATTGCCAGCCAAAGAATCTTTAAACCCACCTATAACCTGTAACCCCCCCCCCTTCGAACCTTTTTGGGCCAAACCAATGTATGCCTCTCACGTATTGATTTGTGACTTTGCCTGTAACCCCTGTCTCTCTGAAAATGTATAAAACTGAACTGTCACCCAGCCACGGCGAGCCCACTTGCTCAAGGCTTCTTGGGAGTGGCTCCGGGTCCTGGTCATCAAATTTGGCTCAGAATAAACTTCTTTCAAATATTTCAGGGCTTGGATTTTTCCGTCCACAGAAGGAAGGAAAAAATACAGGAAAATGTAACAGACTCTCTTCCTGAGTTTTATAACTTAACCTTTGACAGCCGGTGCCAAAACGATTACGTCATTTGATAAGACTCCCAGTGCGGACAGAGGAAGTATTTATGGCAATTTTAAGACGATCTGGGCGGTTAAAGGGAGGCAAGCTTTCTGCACTTGACTCAAACTAGTGAAGTGCTGACGCCACTAGACTGTGGAGCTTATATAAATCAAAGGCGTCAAGAACCTGCCACCCCCAAATGTGCCACCTGGCTGACTATTTTGAGTTAAAAGCATTGGAAAAACAGTATGTACAAGAGGATCACACTGACCTTCTGTTTCTTTCTTTTCTTTTTTGAGACAGGGTCTTGCTCGATGGCCCCTGCTAGAGTGCAGTGGTGTCCTGATAGCTCACTGTAGCCTCGAACTCCCTGGCTCAAGCGATCCTCCTGCCTCAGCCTCCCAAGTAGCTGGGACGACAGGTGCGCACCACCACGCCTGGCCAATTTTCTTCCCATTTTTTTATAGAGACTGGGTGTCACTATGTTGCCCAGGCTGGTCTCAAACTCCTGGCCTCAAGAGATCCTCCCGCCTCAGCCTCCCAAAGTGCTAGAATAACAGGTGTGAGCCACCGCGCCCGGCCTGACTTTCTGTTTCTTAAAAGCAGAAGCTGAAATTCCACGTGAAAGTTGCCCTCCCTAGGCTAGGAGGAAAGTGTCGTTTTTCTCACCAAGGGCAGGAAGTGTAGGCCGAGGGAAATCTGTACGGACAAGCGTTGTGAGACGAACAACCCTCATCACTTCTAGGCCCTTCTCCAGCCAGGGCCACCCTGGCTCCCGCCGCTGTGCCGTGGGGTCTGTGCCCAGGTGCCCCTGCCCCTCCGTCTGGGCCACCCTGGGAGTGCCGGCGCAGGGCAGGCCCACTTACTCTGGCCTTGGTGGCTGAGTTCCTGGGACAGTGGCCACAGTGGACACCAAGCAAGGGGTGGGCTGGGGGCAGCGGGTCGGGTGGCCCCACCTGGGGTTTCCCCTGCACAGGGGAGGGGCTATGACTGGGCAGAACGGGGGCCGTGAGCCGTGCCAACCCCCCACCAAGTCCCAAGTCTCGGTAGCTGCCTGGGGTGCCCAGTGGCAGTGCCACTCCTGCGTCCTCCGGTGGCCCCTTGGCACCTGCCCCACAGGGCGGGTCGGCCGCCACCGCTCCCTGCTCGCTCCGCAGCCGCGAGCCGGGACAGCCCCATGCTGGCTCTGGGCCTCTCCCTGAGAAGCCCCGGCTTGCTTCCAGAAGTCCCCCACGAAGAGAGCACGCAGCAACATATGTGTCTGTTTATTTCAAGGCATGGAGCACAGACATGTCCCCACACTGGACGCGGGAGAGACAGGACGCGGGTACAAAAACAGGAGAACACACGATCGGTTATGCTCGGATGGCACCGCCACGACGTATTAAGGCTCTGTATGTGTGTGCGCGCGCGTGTGGGCACTCGCGCACGCGGGCACACACGCGTGCACGCGCGCACGCAGGCGGCACCGGCACAGGGACGGAGGCCAGGCGCCGGAGGCTGACCGCTGCTCGCAGCCGGCCGGCAATATTGCAGTTACGTCTATTAAAAAAGTGTAACGTAGGAAGACTGTGCGTCGGTCTGAGCAAAGTGACGAGCTTGAGCCTCCCTGACCCGGGCACACGGGGCCAGCTGAGCCCGGGCCCTGTGCCCTGCCGCCGCCCGCGCCCGCCTGCCCTGCCGCCGCCTCCACCTGTGCACGCCCCCGCCGGGCAGCCCGCGTGCGAGCCAGGAAGGGAGGGAGGTTCCAGGACCTGCCGGTACTGGGCTCCCATCCAGACAGCACGCGGCGGAATAAAGACACCAGGACGTCCTCCCCAGAGCAGCGCCGGCCCGTCCGGGGCGGCCCCGGCAACGCGGGCACGGTCTCAGGAAGGCAGGCGTGTGCATCAGTGTGTCAGAGCCCTGGGGACTCCGGGCCTGCTCGGGGCTCCCGGCTTCCGTGCGGAAAGCTTCCCCTCACCGCCGCTGGGCTGTGGCCATCCGCAGCCTGGGCAGGCCCGCTGGCCGGAATCCGTGGATCCCACGTGGCAGGTGGAGCTGGACTGGGGATGACTAGGCGAGACGACCGGGAACACGCTGCACGACGGAAGCTGCATTTGGCTTTAGCATTAAGGCCGGTGTGGGGCGGGGAGCCCGGCAGGGGAGGCCGGCACCCCCCGAGAGGGGCCAGCGCGCCTGGCCCGCAGCGCCCTTGCGGCCCCAGGTCCCTGCCGCAGCCCCCTGCTCCAGGGCCCCCGTGACGGGGGCTGTGCTCGCTGGGCCCTCCACCTCCACGCCTAAAGTGCTGGGTGCCTGGGAGGGGGGCTCGGGCTGGGAGTTCTGCAGGCGACACCCGTGCCGCCCCCACGGGCTCTTATTTGAGGATGTAGTTAATAAGTAGCTGACACGCCAGGAGCACGCAGAGCAGGAACCAGGATCGGGGGCTCTGCAGGACGCCCGGGGCCGGCCTCTGCGTGGCCTGTGCTGTGGAGCCCAGCATGGCCGAGAGGTGCCTGCAATGACAGAGGCAGGTCACAGGGACGGTGCAGGGCCAGCATGGCCACCTCCCACAGGATGAGAGGGTGCTGCTGGTGCCGACCAGGTGCTGGACACAGAGTGGGGATGGGGACGGAAGGGGCCGCACCCATCCGGGTCGCAGAGTGTGGCTCTTGGGCATTCCTGAGGGTCCACTCTGCGTGGGCAGGCCAGGAGTGAGCCCGGGCTGCCACCTGGCTCCACGCACATTGGGGTCTCTCTTGGGGCTACCCTCAGGCCTGCACCGGGACTGGCACCTTCCTCTGGGCTCCTTGAAGTCTATGGCCCCGTGTCCGCCGGGCGCTGCCAACTCAGCCTGCTCCAACGCAACGCCCTGTGCCACCCACAGCCCCACACCCCAGCTCACCACGGAGGGACCCCAGGCGGGTTCCTTCCTGTCCCCACCCTGCAGCGAGACCCTCAGGTTCTGGCCCCAAGACAGCCCAGGACATGGCCTCCCTGGGCCCCCCCAGCTGTCCCTTGCCAGGCCCACCTGTGCAGCTCCTGCTGGACCTCGCGGATGGAGAGGACGGCCTCGTGCAGGGCCTGCAGCCGCCGCGCCACCTTCCTGCACCGGGCGCACGGGCTCTCGCCGCCTGGGTTGGCCCAGGGACGGGGAGACGCAGGAGGGGAGGGGAGAACAAGGATGAGCCGCAGGCCCGGGGGCTGCCATGAGGGTCAGGGGTCCGCCCAGCTCAGCCCCCACCCTAGCTCATGGGAAACCCACCGGGCCGAGCTGGGGCACAGGGAGACGAGGGAGGGGTGCCGAGGGAGCCCCAGGCTCGGCTGGCCCCTAATGCGCCCTGGGAGACAGAAGTGGCCCAGGCGTGGCTCGTCCCCGCAGAGGCAGGGACAAAGTCAGGGAGACACAGGCTGCCCAGGGACAGCGGAGGAGCAGAGAGGCAGGCAGGACGGGTAGATACTGCCAGACCTGCCTCACACAGGCCGGCCAGCTTAGGGAGCCCTGGCCTGGGCCCGCCCCTTCCTCCCCTGCCCCCACCATGTCCCCACCAGCCTCCAGGCAGCCCCCTGGGAGGACAGGCAGGGCAGGCAGAGGAGTCCCTGCCCAGGAGGCCGCCCCACCCTGGGAAGGTAGGGCTCTGGCCCTTCCCATCCTGCAGAGGGGCGGCGGGGGTGGGGCAGGGCCCCTTCCCAGCTGCCCTCCCACCAGGTCAGCGTCTGAGGCACCCACCGTCAGGGCTCCGGGGCGGGCCCTAGGAGGGCTCACCTGGGACAAAGTCCCCGTCCTGGTCCTCGTCGGAGAGCTCCGGGCAGGACTCGGGCGTGGAGCCGCTGCTCTCGGTGACCTGGCTGTGGCCAGAGGGCTGGTCACTGGCCTTGCGGAGCCGCCGGTCTGGGCCGGGCCTCTGCAGAGAGGAGGAGCTGCTGTGGCCAGGAGCCCCCGACCCCCGCAAGGGCCCTCGGGGACACAGTGGCACGCTCATGCCGGGCAGTGGTAGAGGCGGCTGCAGGCAGGAACGCAGCTGCCTGTGGTGTGGCTGGCCGGGGCGGTTTGGGTCCGGGCCCTGGGGCGGCCTGGCAGTCATGGCCATGACTCCCATTGGAGACGTGGGCTGCTGACCCCTCCGTAGGGGTGGGGGCCCTCGAGGCAGTGTGGACGGGCCTGCTCTGTGCCCATCACGGGCTCCTGCCCAACAAACGCAGGGAGGACGCCACGGGGGCTGCGGTGGCTCAGGCCCCACAGGGACTTGGAACGGCTGGGGCCCCCCCACGATGAGGGGCGTCTCTGGAGGGAACCCCCAGCTCAGCCGGCTGCCAACAAGCCCCCAGGAGAACAGGTGTGGCCAAGGTGAGGCTGATCTGCTCAGCAGCACCTGGAGTTGACAAGGAAGCGTGGCCGCGAGCTGACGCTCAGGGGTTGGGGGACACTGGACTGTGGCTGCCCCCACGTGACACAGGGCCTGTGGGCCCAGAGGGCGCCAGCAGGTGCCAGGGACACACAGCAGAGGTGGGTCAGAGCCGGGACAGGTGGTCAGAGAGGGGGAGGTGGATTTGGCCACAAAGTGATCAGCGGTGACCACCCTGGGACCTCAAGGCATGGGGTGGCCTAGGCCAATGGCAGGGGCTGCTTAGAGGGGAAGGATGCCCGGACCCCAGGCACCCTTCAAAAGCCACGCCTAGGCCAAGCCTGCTCCCTTTCCCATATTCCTTCCTGGCTGCCTGGCCCTCCTCCCACCTTTTCTGGGCCCAAGATCTGTACAAAGGAGACGGAGAACGCTGGCCCCTCCTCTCCCGCCTGGGCAAGGCTCTGAGGCTCAGCCCCTCACCGGCAGGGTGGGATGATGTGGCTACTGAGTTGGCGGAGGGCGACTTTGGGGACAATGGACTAGCGTCAGCAGACCGGGGCTCAGTGCCCCACATATCTGGGTGCCGGGAACTGAGCGTCCTGCAAACCCACGTGTCTTGGGTCCGATGATGGGGACCATGAGGGGCTGGGTCCCAGGGAGGGGGAAGCGGGGTGGCCCTGGGCAGGGCGGGGTGCTGACCTCATGCCTGGGCCCCGGGCTGCCCCGGAAGGGGGCCTGGTGGGCCGCGGCCTCCCGCTGCAGGGTGTGTAGGACCCCATCTTGCTCGAACTGGGCGATGTCCTTCATGGGGTCCCAGGGGCTGCGGCTGGAGGGTCCAGAGGGCACGTGTCGGCAGAGGCAGTGGCCTCGGGGAGCGGGGGCTGCTCCCGGCAGTGGCCGGAGCCCCAGGACAGCCGCCCCTGCACCTGCCGTGGGCAGGGCCTCCCCTCCCCCTCCCTCACCGGCTCCCCGGGGGCCGGCTCAGTCCAGCCCCACCGCGTGGGACCCCGGGGCTGCCGCCGGCCCACGCTCACTTCTCGTAGCGGTAGCGCCACTCCTGAGTGGCGGGGTCCAGCTGGAACAGCTGCGGCTTCCAGGGCGTGAGGCTTTGCTGGCGCTCACGGGTCCGCTGCCGCTGCGCCTCCTCTAGCACGAACTTCTCCTGCGTGGCCTTGTGCTGGTCACCCTTGCCGATGGCCCTGGTGACATGCTGCCAGAGCCTGCAGGCAGCGGACGCGCCCTGAGCTGGGGCAGCCCGACTCCGAGGCAGCTTGGAATAAGGGCCCCTTGGCCCTTGAAGGGAGGCCCTTCCCAGTTGCTTCCCAGGGAAGCAACTGCTTCTTGATTGCCTCCAGTGACAGGGAGCTTACTACCTTGTAGGGAGCCTGTCTCCCCGGTGCTGTTTTTTCTCCATGAGATGGTTTTTCCCTGCACTGAGCTCCCACCCCGCCTTCAGGGACCTCCCAGAGGAGACTCGGGTCACCTGCCCAAAGTGACGGGGTGGCAGGGGGCGCCTGCTCTTCTCCAGGCCTCACCCCTCCCTCCACTGCCAGGACACGTGATCTGCCACGAGGGGCCCGCTCCGAGGTCTGCCCTCCCCGCCAGGGACATGCCGGGGACAGCACTGCGGTCAGCAGGGCCCCTCGGCGCCGGGCGGGCCTCACCTCTCGGACTCCAGCTCCGTCTGCTCTTCGAGCAGCACCGTGTGGCGCTTCAGCCTCTGCCCACGGACCTCCCCGCTGGGGCTCCAGAAGAGCTCGGAGCTGCTGCTTCCCTCCTCCTTGATAAACACGTCGCTGTCCTGCCCAGGCGGCCGGGCAGGGTCAGAGGTGCTGGCCTGGGCGAGGGCGGTCCAGCCACACCCGCCCCGAGGGACGCCCTTACCCAGTGCCCGGTGAGACTCGCCAGGACATCGCCCCCCGACGTGATCTTCCCCGAGATCTGGTTGATGCTCGTGCTGCTCCCGAAGAAAGGCTGTGGGGCACGGGGACAGAGCCATGAGGGGCTGGGGCCCTTCCAGAGGCACGGAGCAGTCACTCTCGGGGGTGCCAGGGAGCCCGGCTGGGACAGGACCCAATGCCAGAGGAGGCTGAGCTCGCCCAGTGCCCCCCCCCAGCTCAGGGACTAGGGGCCCGGGTCCCTCCTGGCTCTGCTGGGCATCTGCAGGCACCCTCTGCCCATCCAGGGTCCCGTCTGAACTACAGGAAGCCAAGAGCTGCTCCTCCGTGTGTCTTGCTTGGGCAACCCTCCCTGGGGAGCCGGAGGGTGGCAGGAGGATCCCAAGGCCCTGTCCTTTGCCTGGCCGAGCTCCAGCCCCGCCCAGGCCAGGCGCAGCCAGCGCTACCTTGAGCTTGAAGTCCAGCTCCGCCTGGAAGTTGTTCTTCGCACACGCGATGGTCACTTTCCCGCCCAGCTCCATGGTCATCGTGCCGTACAGGATTCCTGAAACGGGGCCAGTGTCAGGGGTCAGGCCACCCCCCAGCCCCGCTGAGCCCGGGGGGCCGGTGTCAGACCCGGGGAGGGCAAGAAGGGAGAGCGGAGAAGACGGGAGCTCCCGGGAGCAGAGCCTCACGTGGAGGGACTCGGGGCGTGCATGGTCCCTGGGTGACTGTCACCCCCGAGAAGGGGTTCTCGGCCCTTGCTGGGGCCTATGCCCCCGTCCAAGAGTCACCCCCATCCCAGGCTCCCAGGAGCCCCGCAGCCCCAGCACACGCAGGGCAGCTCCCTCGACTCTGCGGTTCCTGCTCCAATGCACCCTCCTAAGGGCAGGTGCCGTCCCCACGCACTGCCCCGTCACGGTGGGTGCTGGCGCCCAGGACGGCACCCCGCATGGTTTTAAAAATGAATACATCTTTTTGTCAATGAGTGGAGGAAGGAACGGGTCTACTCCTGGCCATATGGAGGACCTGATCTAATTAAAGAAGCTGGCACCACCAGAGAACCAAAATATTTCCACTCGGAAACACTCAGAAATGTGGGGTAAAACGTGTCTCTTTCAAAAATGAACGAAAGAAACAAAAAAGACAAGCTGTTTGAAATGGCAAAGGCTTGGAACACGCCCCGATCCCTCCGCAGGGGGCTGGTCCAGTGCGCCGGCCCACGTACCCGGCAGAGACGGCTGCCGCTCGGAAGGAACAAGCAGGGTCTCTGTGCTGCGCCAGGGTGTCCCCAGGCTGTGACTCTCGGTGGGAAGGGCCAGCTGCAAACAGCGTGGGCCCCGACCCTCCCATAAAGTTAAATGTTTTATTTTATTTTATTTTAATTATTTTATTTATTTTTAAAGCCAGTCAAATTTAGCAGTGGGGGGTTGGATACCAACTTTAGTGACACTAATGTGAATAAGTTCTGATAACCCACTACCATCTGACCGGCCTAAGTATTTTATTCTAACTATTAAAAATTAAAGGCCGGGCGCGGTGGCTCACACCTGTAACCCTAGCACTCTGGGAAGCCGAGGTGGGAGGATCGCTCAAGGTCAGGAGTTCGAAACCAGCCTGAGCAAGAGCGAGGCCCCATCTCTACTAAAATATTGAAAGTAAATTAAGTTGGCGCAACTAATATATACATAGAAAAATTAAGCCGGAGCGTCGGTGGCGCTGCTCTGTAGTCAGCTACTCGGGAGGACTGAGCCAGGAGAGATCGCTGAGCAAGGAGTTTGAGGTTGCATGTGAGTGGGAATCAATGGTCCTAGGCTGACGTATGGCCTACCTAAAAACCCAGACAACAGAGTGAGACTGTTAAAAAAAAAAAAATTATAATTATAAAAGAATTTTAAAGAGCAATTCCTAGAAACCAAAAGTAAAATGAAATAAGAAACCTGAATTGGGTGTGGGTGGGTGGCACGATCTCAGAGGGGACCTATTCCAGATGACTTCAAAAGTCCCAGAGGGACATACCTAGGACAGAGACCGTCACACTATCCAACCGCACACTGCTGTCGTCATTGTGCTGCGGCTGTATTCTGGACTGCCACATGTGGGACGTGGGACGTGGACAGAAGTCACCACGCTTGTGACCTTGAAAATTGGGCTTTTTGGGATCGGAGGAAGATTCTGATGTCAGGTCAGCCCAGTCCTGCCACCCTGGGTCCGGATTGAAGCCCGAGTGTAAACTCAGGGTCTATTTTAAGCTGGCCGCAAAAGATTTCTCCATTCGGTTCGCTGGAAAATCTCAGAAACAACGACCAGGGCACTCCTGAGACACAGACCTGGAGGTGGCTGGTGTGATGGTTGCTCTGCACTATGGCTGTAACATTATAGGCCGGGCGCGGTGGCTCACGCCTATCATCCTAGCACTCTGGGAGGCCTAGGCGGGCAGATTGCTCAAGGTCAGGAGTTCGAAACCAGCCTGAGCAAGAGGGAGACCCTGTCTCTACTATAAACAGAAATAAATTAATTGGCGAACTAAAAATATATATAGAAAAAAATTAGCTGGGCATGGTGGTGCATGCCTGTGCCACCACGGAACACCACGGAACTGTCCACTTTATAAGTGCATTTAAGACGATGGATATTGTTGCGTGCATCCTACCACAACCAGAGAGACAGAGACAAACAAGAGAAACGGATCTGACCTCCAGCTGTGGCCTCTAAACCTTATTTCCCACGGGAGGGAACCCGGGCTCCCTGGAGAAACGGCTGCTCCGAGGTCCGGAGCGGAAGCGTCCAAGGTGTCCTCGTGGTCGCGCCAGCAAAGCGGCCAGGGTGGGCAAGAAGGGCCCGGAAGCCAACGGCGGCCCCCGCGCCCCGGGCAAAGATGGGACAACGTGAGTATCGGTAAGGATGACGGCTGGAGGGACCGGAAACCACTCAATATGTTCTTATCACACGTTAACAAACCACAGCCACAGCCACAGCGACGGCAACCGCCTCTGGCGGGTGGCCGGGAAAGGCTCACGCTGAAGAGACCTGGCATTGGTCCCAGAGCCGGCCGAGCCTACGGGCAGCCGCGCAGAGGACGGGGGAGTTTGCTGCTGGTGAGTGAAGGGAGCCACGGAATGCCACCCCTCGTGGCTCCCAGGAAACCCACAGATCCAGGTGCGAGAACCAGCGTCCTCTAACGTCGCCAAGAACCACCCGCCCTGCGCGCCCGCCGTGGAGAGACGCGCATCGCTGGGCGGCGTCCTGCGAGCGGACTGCGCGAGCGGAGCACGCCCCGCACCACGAGCAAGCCGGCTGCGGTTTGGGGGCTCGCGGGTGATGCCCCGGCAGGGGAGCCTGGCCGGCAAAATCCCGCCCGGGGGAAACCACAGGAAAACGACTCGTTTCTCCGATACACACGCAAGGGGAAAACGGCGGGAGGGACACCAAGGAACTGGAGAGACAGAGCGACCACGCGCAGAGCCTGCTGTGCAGCCCTGCTCAGGCGCATGGGCCGTGACATGCGTGTGCGTGTCTGGACACGCGTGCACACGGCAACCGGGCGGCTCTCAACGCAGCCTGAGCGTCTGACGGCAGGGAAAGAGCCTCCGTTTTGTTTTGGCGTGCCAACAGCATCGGGCTGTGGTTGGAAAGGGAAATCCCGGGGGAGTCAGACTCAGGGTGGGAGTGGCGGTCGCCGCGGCGGGCCGGCGGTCGCGGGTTGCGGGTGCCCGTCTGCACTCGTGCCGCTGAAGTTGCTGTGTGACCCCCCTGCTAACTTCGACTGGCTTTAAAGAAAAATGGGGAAAAAATTTTTAAAAAGGGAAAGAAATCTTCATCTTTTAGTGACACACAATAAAATACACAGATGACGTGACATGGCGCCTGGGATTCACGTCCAGTCGACGGGAGGCAGAGTACGTGGGGTTCGCAGGCCTCCCACGCTGTGGCACCTGCACCACACTCTCACGGCATGTTTGAGGGCTGCCCTCGTACAAGGCTGAAAAAAATACGCAGTGTTCTTCCAAATGCGCAGATGAGCAGGTGTGCGTACAGGAACAAAAGGGAAATCCCCTGGGAGAGAAAACAAAAAAGTGAGGGAGGGAGGAGGAGGAGGAGGAGAAGAGAAGGAGGAGGAGGAGGAGTGCAGGAAGAAGAGGAGGGAAGGAGAGGAGGAGAGAAGGAGAATTGGAGAAGAGGAGGAGAGAGGGAGGAAAGAAGAAGAGGATGAAGGAGGAGAAAAAGAGGATGGGGAGGGAGAGAAAGAGGAGAAGAGAGGAGAGAGGAGGGAAGGAGGAGGAGGAGGAGAAGGAGAAGGAGGAGGAGAGGGAGGGAGGAGGAGGAGGAGGAGGGGAGGAGGAAGAGGGAGGAGGAGGAGAAGGAGGGGGAAGAGGAGGAAGAGGGGGAGGAAAGAAGAGAGAAGAGGAGGAGGAGAGGAGAGGGAGAGAAAGAGGAGTAGGAGGAGGAGAGAGAGGGAGAGAGTAGGGGGAAGAGGAGAAAAAGGGGAGGAGGGAGAGAGAAGGAGGAAGGAGAAGAGGAGGAAAAGGAGGAGAGGAGTGAAGTGAGAAGGAGAGTGAGGAGGAAGAGGAGAGGAGGAGAAGGAGATGAGAAGAGGAGGAGGAGGGAGGGAGGGGAGGAAGAGGAAGAAGGAGAAGGGAGGAGGAGAGAGTAGAAGGAGGAGAGAAGGAGGAGAGGAGAAAATGGTTAGAGAAGAGGATGGAGGAGGAAAGAGAAGAGGAGGGAGAGGAGGAGAAAGGAGGAGGAGAGAAAGAGGAGGAGAAGGAGGAGAGGAGAGGAGAAAGAGAAAGAGGGGGAAGAAGAGGAGGAGAGGACGGAGAAGAAGAGGAGGAAGAAAGAGGGAGGGAGGAGAGAGAAGGAAGAGGAGGATGGGAGGAGGAGGAGGAGCAGGCTGAGGATGAGGAGGAGAAAAAGAGGAGGAGAAAGAGAGGTGGAGGAGGAGGGAGAGGAAGAGGAGGAGGAGGAGGAAGGAGGAGAGGCAGGGAGGATGAGAGAGATGGAAGGAGAGAAGAGAAGGAACGAGAAGGAGAAGAGAGGAGCAGGAGAGGAGGAGGAGGCGGGAGGATGAGGAGGGGGAGAAGAAGAGGAGAGAAGAGAAGGAGAGAAGGAGAGAAGGGAGCAGAGAGGAGGAATTGCAGAGGATGAGGACGGGGGAGAAGGAGAGGAGAGAAGAGAAGAGAGGAGGGATGGGGAGGAGGAATGAGAGGAGCAGGATGATGGAGGAAGCAGAGATGGAGTAGAAGAGAGAAGAGAAAGAGAAGAGAGGAGGAGGAGAGGGAAGGAGAGGAGAGGGAGGAAGGAGGAGGCAAGGAGGATGAGAGGAGAGGAAGAGGAGAAAAGGAAGGAGAGGGAAGGGAGAGTTGAGAGAGGGATGGAGGAGGAGGAGGGAAGGAGGAGAGGGAGGGAGGAGAGGGAGGAGGAGGAGAGGAAGGAGGGAGGAGAGGGAGGAGGAGAAGGAGGAGGAGGAGGGAGGGAGGAGGAGGAGGAGGCAGGGAGGATGAGGAAGGGGGAGGAGCGTTTGTTGCTCTCAGTTCCTGGTTTCTGAGGTTCCTCAGTGAGCAGTGACAGGTCCCTGGCCGGAGTCACCAGGACAGTTGTTGGGAGACCTGTCCACAGAGCAGGGACCCTCCCGTGGCCGCACTGTCAGAAGAGGAGGAGCTGCGGAAGTTTCCGAAGCCCCTCCACGACAGGCGGAGAGTCCACGAATTTGCAAGGTGAGCTTGGGATTCACACAGTCTCTGTGAGGGCCCAGAAAAATGAGAATCCCCAGGTTTTACTAAACAGCCGTTCGCTGAGTATCTGTGGCAGTGGGAACACAGTAGCAAACAAACTAATTAGAATATTAGAGTTATTAGCAAGAGAAGAGATAAAGCAATTGTATTTACAATGTTCAAAGGTTTATAAGAAGGGATTGCAAACACGACCACGGAACAAGGAACAAGAGCGAAAGAAGAGGCGAGTCTGAAAGGGAACCAAGCAGAACTTCTAGGGAAACAAAACATCAACATTGCAAACTCGATGGGTGAGTTCAATCAACATCAGGTTAACTGGAGTTGAAGGTATAGCTAAAGAAATTATCTAGAACGCAACGAGATAAAAGATACGATGGAAACCTTGTGAAATACAGAGCATGGAAGGAGATGGCTTAGCTTATGTTTCCCTGGAGTTCTAGAAACAAATAGAGAAATTAAGAGTGAGGCAGCATTAAAAAAAAGTAACGCCTCTGAACTCAATGGTAAGAGAAAGGAACGATGGCGAGGACTTGGGGGCTGCAGTGAGTTGTGACTGTGCCACTGCACCCCGGCCCGGGGGACAGAGCGCGGCCTCGTCCCCAAGAACAAACAGAATAAGGGCTAAACGTTTCCAGATTAAAAATTTCCAGGCTAACAATTTCCAGATCAAAGCCGTGAAACCTCAGATGCAAAGAGTTCCAACAAACAAGAAGCCTCCATCAGCAAAAACATAAGAGGAACGCAGAGCTGGCAAGCTGCAAGAAGACGGGGAGGAACCTTCAGATGCGCACGAAGAAGCCGACCTGCAAAGGCCGCAGCCCGCGCGATTCCGACCACGTGGCGTTACGGAAAAGGCAAAACCACGGGGACAGCAACGGCATCCGTGGTTGCCAGGGTGCCGGGAGGGAGGGATGAACAGGCGGGTTCATCTGGGCCTGTCTCATCATGAGAGATTTTTGGGTGTGAAAGTCTTTCCGCACGAACACTGGGGATGGTAGGTGCAGGTCATTACGTATTTGTCAAAATCCACAGAACGCACAAGGCCAAGAGGGACCCTGCTGTGAACTGTGCACTTTAGCTAATTATGCTGTATTAATATCGGCTCCTCGGCCGCGCGCGGTGGCTCACGCCTGTAATCCTAGCACTCTGGGAGGCCCAGGCGGGTGGATTGCTCGAGGTCAGGAGTTCGAAACCTACCTGAGCAAGAGCGAGACCCCATCTCTACTTAAAAATAGAAATTAATTAATTGGCCAACTAAAAATATATATAAAAAATTAGGCGGGCGTGGTGGCGCATGCCTGTAGTCCCAGCTACTCGGGAGGCTGAGGCAGGAGGATTGCTTGAGCCCAGGAGTCTGAGGTTGCTGTGAGCGAGGCTGACGCCACGGCACTCTAGCCTTGGCAACAGACTAAGACTCTGTCTCAAAAGAAAAACAAAACAAAACGTCGGCTCATCAGTTGCACATGGCCTATGTAGGGGTCTGTGTGAACTCTCTGTACTTCCTGCTCAATGTTCCTGCAAACCTAAAACCACTATACCAAAATAAATCTATCAGTTAAAAAACAAAAACAAAAACAATCCAAACCTTGACGCGCCATAGTGAGACCATCTAAAACACAGCTACAGAGAAAAGCAGTCTTGGTGACAGACAGCCAGCCAGCCGATCGGCCGCCCGCCAGCCAGGACCCCAGACGGCGACACAGGATGTGTGCACGGAGCCGAACACGGCAACCTACCTGCAATCACACACTCGCCTTAAAAGTCATCGACCAGTGAGGGCGAAATAAAGATGCCTCCAAGCAAACAAACGCCAAAGGCGCTAGCAGGCGGGCGCGCTCCCCCGGGCCGCTCACCTTTGCAGTGGGCGTAGGGCATGGTGAGCGAGTACTCCTCCGCGCGGCTCAGCAAGGTGAGCGTGGCCCTGCCGTCCAGCAGGGCCGACAGCGAGTTCCCTGCGGAGACAGGGGCGGGCGGGACCGTGAGCGGCGCAGACTGGGCGTCCCAGGCTCTGAGCCCCTTCCCCGGCTGTGGGACCCTGGGCAGGTCCTTGACCCCTCTGAGCCTCAGACGCCGGAAAAGCCCTGGCCGGTCTGCACGTGGCGTCTGCCCCGAGCAGCTGTGTAACTTTTCCTGTGCTGATGGTTTATTTCAGTTATTAAACCAGGGACCCTTGCGGGGAGCCCCTCTTGGATTTTAAGCGCCCCTGTGGAGGGGGCGCGCCCCACTCTGGGCTGGGAAGATGGGCGGCGCCCCTGGGCAGACGCCACCTGCCACCCCTCCGAAAATGTGCGCGCACACGTAGGGTGTTCTCCGCGCACCCCGCAGACAGCTGGGCGCACACGGTGCTCAGCACACACCTGCGCACACGTGACAAGGACACAAAGGTGCGCCTGATGGGAAAGGAATAGAAATGGGCATTTTCTGAGCCAGGCCCTGGAGCAGCACTGTCCACCGGAAGTTCCTGCGAAGATGGGAGCGTTCGATCCTGCCTGTCCCACTCGGGGCCACCACCCACGTGCGGCCGCTGAGCCCGAGTGACGTGGGCCCCACAATTAAGGGGCTGCCGCGTCTCGTGTTTTATTTCACTTTAGCCACTTTAAGTAGCTGCGTGTGGCCAGAGGCCACCAACCGGTGCAGCGCGGGTCCCTGCCTGCCCACGGCATCCCTGCAAAAGGCGCCACCCTCGGCTGGGGGGGCGCCGGGCTGGGGACGCCAACGCCAGGGCCTGAGCACGTTGCCACCCATGTGGTCTCTGGCCGGGCAGGGACGTGCACACGGCCACCCCTGCCACCCCTGGAGCCCAGGCCTCCCCGGGCTGCGCCTCTCACCGTAGAACCTGGACTTGGCGGTGATGCTGCCGCTGATGCAGAAGCCGTCCTTCCGGTTGCTGACGTGGAAGGCGGACACGGGCGGGTGGTGGGACACCTGTGTGCGGCAGGCGGCTCTGGAAACAGCCCCGGGCTGAGCACCCCAGGGAGGCCCCATGGCCCCTCCACTTCCCCTCGTGCCCAGTCCCAGCACCGGGCGGAGGACCTTCCCGGCTCCTGCTCCGGATGCTCAGGGCAGCCTCGAATCCCTGAATCGGTGGGAGTGGGATGCCCCGCCCCTGTCCCCAGGGAGATGCCACCTGCTGTCACAGCTCCTGGGCTGTGTCCCAGCTCTCTGCGAGATGCCCCGTTGGCAGCGGCTGGGCCCAGAGCCCTTGCGATGGGCAGCCCCCCCCCCAAAATAAAAACGTGCACGCGGCGGGGTCAGGCTTGCTCCTGCCCGCTGCCGGGCCGCCCTCCCAGAGCCCGGGCCGCGGGGCTTGCCTGTTCCGCGATGTAGAACGTGTGGCTGTCGGTCTGGGGGTGGAACCAGCAGCAGCGGAAGGTCTCCCCCAGGATGGGGTTGTAGGGCTTCTTGATCCCCTGCGGGCAGCGGACGGGAACGCGCTGGAGCAGTGGTGGGAGGGGCTTGCGCGCCGGGCGTGGCGGGGACTGAGGGACGGTGGGTGGCCGCCCGCCGCGCCCTGGCCCTGGGACGGACGGCCTGGTGTGCCGCCAGCCTCTGGGAACAGCACCCCACTTCTGCTTTGGGGACGCTATGCTCTGCTGGTTCACCTTCTGGGGGGCGGCCTAGGGCATCCTTCCTGTCCACTTCTCGGATCAGAGGGGGACAGGACACCCCGGCCAAGTCACAATCTCCCAGACTTCGGGTGTAGCCCACACACAACCCGCTGAAAGCTGCCTGCAGAAGGCACCGTGTGGCCAGGAGACCTGGCGCCAGCCCCAACCTGCCGTGTGACTTGGGTCGTCCCTTCCTCTCCCCGAGCCTCAGTTTCCCCAACTGCACGATGAAGACGCGGAACCAGAATTGTGGTTTTCAAACTTGTGTGCCACGGAACCCCGGGGCTCCGTGGTGGGGGAGGGGGCACGGGCGGGGCTGCACACCCCTCTCCCCCCACAACCAGGGCAGCCCTGCTGTCATCCGAGTCCTGCGTCTGGGGCTCTAAAACTGGGTTCCATGACTGAAAAATGATGAAAACCACAGGTCACTAAGGCACCTTGAGGTCCAGGGTGGAAAGCGCCATTCCTGGCACGGTGGCGTGCCGCAGTGGCACTAGCAGGCCTGAGGCTGTTCTCTTGGGGTGGGGAATGTCCCACTTGGGTCCTTAAGGGAACTGGGGCCACCCTGGGGGTCTGTCCTGACATGTCCACGGACCCCTCCAGGGGAAGTTAGGGCCAGTGCGCAACGACCAGGATCCTTGAAGGCCGTGGGCAGCAGGGGTGGCCAGGGCCCCGCCCCGCCCGGCGTGTCTCACCTTGGGCTTCTTGTAGAAGCCGGACAGGTACCAGCGCAGCACAAGCTTCATGCGGCTGTAGGCGTCCTCCTCCGCGGCCGCCCTGTGAGGGGCGGGACAGCTCTGACCCCAGGCCGCGTCCCTGACCCCCGTCCCACCATCCAACCTCTAACCACACGGCTGGAAAAAGGCCCCCAGGCCCCATCCTGCCGGGCAGCCCCGAGGCAGGGGTTCTCCTGAGGGGCCGGGGCTGCTCCCGTGCTGGGAGCTGCTCGGGGCCGCCAGGCTGCCCCCGCCTCCAGGAAGCCCCCAGTGCTCCCTCTGGCCGGCCCCTTTCCTGCCTCTGCAGCCCACCCGTCCGGCCCGAGGGTGCAGGGTGAACAGCAGGTGCTGGGCGCTGCCCCCAAACGCACCACCGATGGCCACGGCCTCAGCACCGCCTGCCACGCTCCCTCTGCACCTGCTCCTCCCGGCTGGTCTCGGGGACAGGGTCCCTGGGAGGCCAGAGCCGCAGGGACAGCGGACAGAGGAAACCCGCGGGGCCCCGGCGCCCACCTGGAGAGCAGGTCGGCGTGGTAGTAGTAGTCGGAGAGCTTGTTGAGGAAGGAGCGCGGCTCCAGCACGAAGGTGGGCAGCACCACGCGCGACAGGTCCATGCCCGGCCGCAGCTGCTTCAGCAGGACCCACATCAGGCTCTTGTGCTCTTCCGACACCGTCTCCACCTGCGACACCTCGCCCAGCTGCGCGGGGCGGCCGCGGTCAGGCCCCGGCCGCGGCGGGCAGGACGGCGCGGCTGCTCTCTGCCCGCCCGGCCCCTTCCCCCGGCCACCCGGGCCCCTCTGCGGCTGGCTGGTGCCTCCCGAGACTGGCTGTGAAGCCCACGTGTGCACGTGGGTGACGCTGGGCACGGCGTCCGGGGCTCAGCCCGTCCTGTCCGCACGGCTGTCCGGTGAGGCAGGCGGCCGCCTGCTCCTTCCTCTGTTTTTTTTTTTTTTAAAACATTATTACTATTTTAAAATTTCTGGCCGGGCGCGGTGGCTCACGCCTGTAATCCTAGCACTCTGGGAGGCTGAGGTGGGAGGATGGCTCAAGGTCAGGAGTTCGAGACCAGCCTGAGCAAGAGCGAGACCCCGTCTCTACTAAAAACAGAAAGAAAATAATTGGCCAACTGCAAATATATAGGAAAAATGAGCCGGGCATGGTGGCGCACGCCTGTAGTCCCAGCTACTCTGGAGGCTGAGGCAGGAGGATCGCTTGAGCCCAGGAGTCTGAGGTTGCTGTGAGCTAGGCTGATGCCACGGCACTCTAGCCCGGGCAACAGAATGAGACTCTGTCTCAAAAAAACATAATAATGAAATAATAAAATTTCTTTCCTCTCTTTCTTTTTTAACCACTTTACAGAGGTGTGATGGGTGCACAGAGTTGTAGATTGCGAACGTGCACAACTGCACGCGCTGGGAGACAAGTGCGGGCCAGGAAACTATCAGTCACTGCCGTAAACTCTCCTGTCACCTCCGAAGGCCTACACGTCCTTCAGGAAAGTGCCCTCGTTTGCTGCCCTCCTCCTGTCCTGAGACCCCCGACCCTCTCCACGGCTCTTCTTGCTCTAGACTCACACCTTGCGGCAGCTCCAGGGCGCCCATGGGGACAGTGGTCCTGCCCCCTCCACACAGGGGGCGAGTGACTTGCCCAGGGTCACACAGCTAGGGTGCAGCAGAGGCGGGACTGGAACCCAGGGCAGTCTACACCCTAGCTTGATGGCCGCTGCCCTAGGAGACAGGAGGATGGGGAGCCGGCAGCAGGCCTGCATCAGGGGCTGGCTCCCCGCTGCTGGGCTGCCTCAGGCAAGCCACTCTGCCCCTCTGTGCGTGCAGAGCCGTGGACAAGGCCCATGGCACTGGCCCAGCGGGCTTTGCCACTCGGGACCGGGGAAGCCCAGGAGTGCCCACACGAAGCCCTGAGCTGTGGCTCCCCTGCCTCTGTTTCCAGGCCAGCTCTGGGCTCACAAGGGCAGCTGCCCCGTCAGCAATCCTGCTCTGCCCGTGTCCACCCCCCACACCCACATAGTCCCATCCTGCTCATCCCGCTCACCCTGCCTAGCCTCCCAATGCTCCCCTAGCTGTGCTCAGCCTCCGAAGGTCGGGGTGCCCACTCCCTTCCCCGGCGCCCAAACTTGAACCCCAGACTTGGAACCCCCGACTCTCACCTGCAGTGGCATCTCTGCTGTCCTGCCTCTCGGCCCTGCCCTGCCCGGCTCCTAGCGGCATCTGTCTGGGACCTGCCCAACCCACCCCTGCAATGCCCTGACCCTGCCCACCACACCTTCTCCATCGTGCCAGGGCCAAGGTGCCCTCAGCTTCCTCCTGACAACTGCTCCTCCTCGTGGGTGGCTTAGCGGCCATGCCCAGCCCCGGCCTGACCTCCCATTTGCACGCACACAGCAGCCTGCTCCCTCTAAGGACAGCAGCCCGGCAGCCGGGCATCCTCACAGGGCACCAGTCAAGACCACTCCTGCCCCCGGTGGAGCCAGAGGCAGACAAGACCCGTCCCGAGCAACAAGGACCCAAATCTCCTTTTTCCTGCTAAAACCGGGGGCTGCCTCGTCTCCACCCAGGACAGCCTGAGCCTCACTCCTTTCGTCTCTGCTTCTGCATGGGAAGGACGAGATCCCTGGTCACAGAGCCCCCTGGCTGACAGCACCCCACCCAGAGCAAAGCCCGGCTTCCTTGGCCCACCCCAAAACCACCCAACAGAAGCCTAGATCCTGTCTGTCCTTCTGCACCTGTCTGTCCTTCCAGACACGTCCCGGCCGTATCTACAGGTAGGCCCTGGGCCTGCCGCTGCCCTGGCCTTGTGCACCAGTGGCCTCTGCCCGCAACGCCTCCCCGCCCTCAGTCGCAGGCTGCAGAGAGGTCCCTGACCCCCCTGTGGGACGGCCCCTCCAGCCTGTCATGGGCCTCAACCCGGCCACCTCCCTCATGGCTCCCTGACCTCCTCTTTCTGCGTGTGGGTCTGTGGTCTGTCTGCTGCTGACCCCTGAGACACACGGGGCCGGGGCCCGTCTCGTGTGCAGCCGTCTCTTCCGGGCCCAGAGCAGCCCGGGGTGTGCAGGTGCCCGGTCAGTACGGGACCTGCGTCCCCCGCTTCCTTGCACTCTGTGCTCCTCCCGGAAGCCGACCACCCACCAGGAGGGGTCCAGCCCCCCGAGCCTCCTGTTGTCCCGTCACGGTGCATTCTGGCCTGGGGGAGTCGCCACATGCACCCCACACTCCATGCCAGCCAGCCGGCCGGCCAGGCACGCGGTGAGAGCCGCCTCTCTCGGAAGAAGGGAACTCGTCCACCCAAGCATCCCAGCCATGCCGCCACGGGACAGGGCAGTGAGACCCACCCCCAGACCCTCAGGGCGCCTTGGCATTTCTACCTCTGCCTCTGGCGCGAGGGGCTGCCCGGGGCTGCGGGCCCAGCACACTCACCTCCCCGAGCTCCTCGTGCACCTGCTCCACGTAGGTGGTCCCCCTGCGTGCGGGGGCCCCGGGGGTCTCCGACTGGTCACTCCCGCTCTCGGTCTTGCGGCTGTGGTCCTGGGTCTCAGGGTCCGACTCCTCGGGGTTCTCTCTCTCCGACTTGTCCGAGAACGCGTCGTTCTCCGAGCGGCTCTCCAGGGACGGCCCGTTCAGCCTGGAAGGCGGATGGCGCCTGTGGGTCCCAGGGCCAGGCGGCCTTCGGCGGGCTGGGGGCGCCACACACATCCCGCATTCGACCCCCGCAACCAACCACCCGCCTCTGCCGCTGTCGGCCCCTTTCACAGACAAAGAAACTGAGGCTGGGGGAGCCACAGCGGTGAGCATGTCACTGCCGCCAGTCCCCGTGCCCCCCGCCGCCCCGAGAACCCAGGAGTGGGCGCCAACCCCGCCCGGCTCACGGGAACAGGTCCTGGTCGGCGTGGCCGGCGGCCGAGGCGGGCAGCCCGTAGAGCGAGGAGGGCGAGGCGTCTGGCGAGGACCCCGGCTCCCCGTCCAGGCCGGGCTTGCAGGTGCCCAGGCGCAGCAGGCTGGAGCAGCGCAGCGCCAGCTCCAGGGCGTCCAGCCAGCAGCGGCCTGGCGGGGGCGGGGCCACAGGGTGAGCAGCCCTCCCTGATGGTGGCCCCTGCCCCACCCGCCTCGTCGGACAGCTCGCTGCTCCCGTCCCGCCAGGCTGCAGAGGCCGTGGGCTGCCCTGCCCTTCGAGGCCCCGTGGGACCCGCCACGGGGCTGGGGAATGGCCGTTCCCGCGCTCCACCACCAGGGGGCGACGCGGCACCGGCGGGACAGGAGGCTGGCGCCCCGCTAAAGCTGGGCCGCTCTGGGAGGCTCCAGCTGGGGGTGTGGGGGGCTGGAGCAGCTACTGGAGGGCGCCGTGGGGCAGGGCCTAGCCCCGCCAGAAGGCGACACCCTCAGGAAGGCATCCCACCAGTCAGGGAATCTCTGTGGTTGCCGCGGTGACGGCTGCTATTCAGCACACACCAACAGAGTGCGATGCATTTGGGAGTCAGTGCGATTGGGACTCATACCCAGGATCTACCACCTTCTTCCTGGTGGTGGCCCATGCCTCAGTTTCCTATCTGTCAGGTGTGGACAATGACAGTGGAACCTGGAGGCTCAGTGGTGCCTGGCCTGTAGCTGGAGCTCAGTAATCGTTACCCGGTTGCTTTTTATAAGCTCACTGGATTCTCATAACCCTGAGTGACACATATTGCCCCCGGGGAAACTGAGGCTCAGAGAGGGGTCCCAGTGAGTGGCAGGCCTGCCTGGCTCCAAGCCAGGCTTGCCCTGTGACTTCAGGCTGTCTCCAGGGGTGGCAGTGGAAGGGCCTGAAGTGGGGCCCACGCCCCCTGGGCTGCAACCCTGAGAGCCGCCCCCACCCCCCAACCCCCCATCGGGAAGGGCAGGCAGGGACTCACCGTCCGACTCGGAGGCGGCCCTGAAGATCAGGTAGCTGCTGGGCAGGGGCTGCGTGATGGAGCCCACACTCTCACCTTTGGGGCCCTGGAGGGGCAGAGGCTCGGCGTCACCCGGGGCAACACGCAGGGACAGCTGCACAGACAGGGCACACAGACCCCTGCGGAGCCAGACTCGGGGTCCCCGCGCGGGGTGGCACCTGGCCAGGCAGGCACACGGGCAGCAAGAGAGGCGAGCGAGAAGGGAGCTCTCCGTTCCCCTTCTTAGCCGGTGGCTCCGCCATCAGCCTCCAGCCCTGAGCCTCCCGAAGTCGGTGGCCAGAACCAGCAAAGGCAAACCCAGGACGCCCAGGTACACGCGGATCCCAGAGGAAGTGAGTCTCTCGTTGGCATAGGAATGTCCCGCGCAGTGTCTGGGACATACTCGTGCTGAGAAACTTCTCTGAAACCCAAATGTAACTGGGTGTGCTGGACTTTCCCTGGCCATCCCACCCCAGCGAGCCCTGACAGGGCGGCCCCGGGTTACGAGGGGCGAGGTCTGGGCTCGGGGTAGCCAGACATGTGGCTTCATCACTGGAGCGGCACCGCCCACCCTCCCGGACAGCGGCGGGGTGAGGGGCCTACGGCGTGACCCGCTCCACCCCACCCCGTGGCCTGCTGCATGCTCCACGGGGGCTCGGGGAGGGTCAGAGACGTGCCCCAGGCTCCGACGCACCCTTGGAGCGGACGACCCGCACCCCTGCAGCCCTCCCCCGCGCTGGCGGCAGCACCTTCACGGCCCACACGGACTGGTCCAGCGGGTGGAAGAGCTTGAAGCAGAAGCCGTCCTTCTTGGAGGGCCGCTCGATGAGCTCGCAGCAGTGCAGCAGCACGGTGCCCACCCACTGGCCGCCCGGGGGCGTCTTGTAGATGAGCAGCGCCCCCGGCTTCAGCACGCACCACAGCTTGGTCCAGCTCTTCAGCGTGCCGCGGATCTGCAGGAGCGGCACCACCGTCACGGCCGGCCCAGCCAGGGGCCCCCAGTGATGTCCCCAGTGATGCCCCGAGCCCGCTATGCACACGGCAGGGGCTGGCGCCGCCCAGTGCCCCGGGGACTCTGCAGAACTCAGGCCCGCCCTGGGCCACAGGGTTCTCTTTTGGTTATTAAAAGGAGCCACTAAGTTAGGGTGAAGCCAAATACATATATAGTAGCCAGGGACAGATTTACTGGTGAGGTTCATGAGGGTCAAGGTCAAGGTCAAGGACAACCAGCCCCCAGGAAGGGCCAGTTGATGAGTGGAGACTGTTGCCATCCTCAGCTTTGTAAAATTTGAAACTAGCTGTTACTTGTTTTCTCATTGTAAACAATAATATGTATTCACTTTTGCACGTCATTTCCTGGTCATGATTTGGCGTGTGGGTGGAAGGGGCCCGCCCGGGCCAGGCTCTGCAGGGGCCCAGGCCCTGGCACCCGTCTGCCCAGCAGCGACGGCGCTGGGCGGTCTCGCCCCGCTGCACGGAGGGGAAACCGAGGCTCAGGGGTGGACAAAGGCCTCCTGGCCCCCCCCGGGTGGTTCCTGGCAGCCCTCCTTGTGCCTCTGCCAGAGGCATGGCCCCCACCCTGCCTGGAAATGGGGACTTTTGCGGGGGGAGGCAGACAGAGACCAGGTGGGGCGAGTCCACCCCCGGAGGGATGGGCCAGGTGGGAGGAAACGCGTGTCTGTTCTTTTAAGCTTCCCGGGTTGTGGTCATTTGTTAAGGCCGCCCAGGAAACCAGACCTGATTCCCCCTGACAAGCTCGGGACCCTGTCCCCAGGGCAGCTACCTTCAGGCTGTCGGCCATGATGACCACGCCAGGGTCCGTGAGGGCGCGGAGCAGCTGCCTGGTGGCCCGCTTCTTCTCCTGCCGGTAGTTCTCCTTCTGCGCCTGGGCCGGCACCAAGCGGGGGGTCGGGAGGGGGCCCACGCTGCCCACAGCGCCTCCCGCCGTCCAGCCCGGGGTCTGTCTCCCTCCCTTTGGCAGCCAGGGCGTGGCATCCTGGCTCACTACCCATGCCACGGACAAATGACATGGCTGCGCCCCCTCCCTGGGCCCGGGCCTACCTTGAGAGCCTCCTTCTTGGTGACCCTGGCAGTCGGGGACACACACTCCTTGTCAGACCCATTGCACAGCCTGTACTCTGCCTGCAAAAGAGAGAGGTGGGTGTGGGGGACAGGGCATCGGGGTGCAGCCTGGGGCTGCAGGGGGGCAGGGGGGTGGGAGGTGCTTCATGCCACAGCTCTGCGGGGCAGAGGTCAGAGAAGAGTGCCCCACCCCCACCCTGCCCAGCACCCCCACCCTTCCTGTCCACCAGCACTTCCGGCACTGCTGCGGGGGGTGGAGGGAGGAATAAGGCACCTGCCCTGGGCACACAGCAGTGAGGAGATGGGGACCCCCCCTCCCCTGGCACATGCAGGGGCGAGGTGCTTGGCACTCGGCCACACCATTCACACAGCCACGTGGTCACACGGCCGTGGCAGAGCCTGATACACCACCTGGCCCTTTCTGGAGCCGGTGTGCCCTCCCGCTCTGCCCTCGGGGCCTCCAGGGCCAGGAAGGTGCCCAGGGCAGGAAGCAAAAGCAGGGCTACGGGGCGTCAGGGCTGAGTTCCAACAGGTCTGGAGGACGGGTCTGGGGTGCGGTCAGAGTGCCAGAGGGCGGAGCTTGTAGAGGGGGAGTTTGGTGGAGGCTATGGGATGGTGACAAGCCCTCGGGCTGGGTTTCTGGGGACCACACTACTTCCGCCCAACGGAACAGCCTCTCGGCCCCTTGTGTCCTCCCTATGGTCCCATCACCACGTGTCCAGCTCTGGGCAGGGCGGAGGTGCAAGTGCAGGCTGTGCTGGGGGGACGCCCACCCTGGCCCGGGGCGCTGCACGTGGAGGTTGACGCCCAGGCCCCCCTGCGCCCGAGCCCGGCACACGCTGACCACACGGCCAGGAGCAGCAGTCCCAGGCCCGGAGCTGGCCAGGGCCACGGTCCTTCCCCAGATGGGGAAACTGAGGGCCACAGAACCAGGTCCACAGGCTACCCGGCCAGGGGGCAGCAAGCCACGGCCCGCATCCTGCCTGCCGGCGGCTTCTGCGCAGCCCGCAAGCTAAGAACAGATGCCCCATTTTTAAGTGGTTGCAAAAAATCAAAAGAATAATACTTTGGGAGACGTGAATATCGTATGACATCCACGTTTCAGCGTCCACGAATAAAGTCTGCTTGGCACTCGGCCACACCATTCACACAGCCACGTGGTCACACGGCCGTGGCAGAGCCTGATACACCACCTGGCCCTTTCTGGAGCAGGTGTGCCCGCCCGCTCTGCCCTCGGGGCCTCCAGGGCCAGGAACCAGAGCAGCGCCGTGGCCGCTCAGTGCACCGGCCACGTGCAGGTGCGTGGCCCGACTCACTCACCCAATCGTCCCACAACCCTCGAGGTGGGGCCGCCGTGCCCCCATGCTTGGACTAGGGAAGCCAGCCTGGGGGGGTGAGGGTGGGGGGAGTCACTCCACGGCTGCAGAGCGAGCGAGGGGCAGGGAGGGGGCTCCAGCCGTTCCTTGCCCGGCAACCTCGACAGAGACGTAAGCGTGAGGGCGCGGCGAGTGTGCATGCATGGTTTCGTGAACACCTGCCCGGCACAAGCACGTCAAATGCCGGCTTGGGTCATTGTTATTATCCACGTTCTGCAGAGGAGGAGACTAGGGCACAGAGAGGTTCAGAAACCTGCCCCAAGTCACACAGCTCACAGGAGCGGAGCCGGGACTGAACCCAGGCAGTCTCTCTGCAGAACGGCACTCTCTCGGCCAGGCAGGAGCACGCAGGATGGCAGGAAGAGAGGGGCGCCTGGGGGCTCTGCCCAGAAGCAGTCTCTGGGCTGAGGGCGAGTGACGGGAAGGAGCCACATCCGAGTGACGATGTGTGCTGGACCTCGGCCAGGAGACAGGCCTCTGGGGCCCAGGCCAGCAGACAAGCCGCCCCAAGGTCCCCACGTCGGAGTCCCCTGAGCTGGGATCCTTGTGCACCGTGCCCGCAGCTACCTGAGCACGTGCTGTTCCCCCAGCTCAGAGTGCTCTTCCCTGTGGCCGGGCAGCCCCTGCTCCTTCCTCAGGCCCCCAGAGCCGCTTTCCCAGGAGGAGGACGGCTTGACCACCCGGCGGCAGCACACTGCCCTCGGCCCACCGGGGACTTCTGCAATTACAGCCACACAGCTGTTTCCGTGGTCAACTGTTTATTGTCCGCAGCTCCCACGCGGGGACGGTTACATCCCAGCACCTGCTCGGCCCAGCAGACGGGGGCTTGCTTGGCAAGCACCTCGAATGAATGAATGAATGAGTGAATAAATGAAGGCGCGGACCTGCTGCCACTCCCCCGCTGCCCAGCTTTCCCCCAGAGGTGGCTGAATGGAGGAGCTGTGCCCGCGTTAGCCAGCAGGGGAGGAGAGAAGGCGAGATGCAGGGTGAAGACACCTGTGTCCCCCCCTAGCTGGGCAAGGCCGCTTGGCGTCGGTCCCTGCGGCCCCTGCCCAGCACCATGGAGTCCTGCCCGCTCCTCCTTCCCGAAGGCCGGGCTGGGCGCCCTGTCCGGGCACGCTAGGCCCTCCGGTCCCTCCTGCACATCAAAATCTGGCACACGACGACACTCCCAAGAAATCAGAAAAGCTGCTCGGAAGGGTGACTTTCAGAATCCGACCAGAACTTTGCAACCTACAAAAATGACTTAGAAGGCACAATTCAGAACACCCTGCAGAACAGGGAGGCGGGAGTTGCAAATCGCACATCTGATAAACACCTGGTACTCAGAACATACGAAGAACACTTGCAACTCAACAACAGAAAGACAAACGACCCAATCCAAAAGATGGGCAATGAACCTGAACAGACAACTGTCGATCGGGACGGGACGACGCCTGGCGCTGTGAGTCAGGAGGGAAGCGCCAGCCACCGGAACCAGGAGGAGGTGGGCTTCACACCCCAGGACGGCGGCTGTAACAACAAGGTAAAAACCCCGAGCAGACCTCAACGCGCATCGGCGAGGCCGCGAGGACGGGAGCCCGTGCACGCCGCGGAGGTCAAGAGAAACGGCGCAGCCGCCATGGGAAGGAGCTTGGCGGCTCCTCGAGAAGTTAAACATAGAATGTGTTAGAATTCCACATCCCCAGGGAATCCCCACGGGACCCGGCAGCTCCATCCCCAGGTAGGTACCCGGAAGAAGTGAAAACTGGCACGCAAGTTCACGTGCACGTGTGTTCAGAGCAGTGCTCCCCACCCCGGCTAACAACATGGAGCAAGCCGCCGTCCACCCGCTGGCGAAGGGATAAAGACAACGTGGCCCGTGCACACGGCGGCCGCTACTATGCAGATTTTAAAGAGGTAGGACATCCTGGCGCACGCTCCAACACGGACGCACTTTGAAGATGTCGTGCCCAGAGAAACCATCCAGACACGGAAGGACAAAGACGGCGATCCCACTTGTGTGGGCCCCCCCCCAGAGTCTTCAGACTCAGAGTTAGAAGTGGAGGGGCCCCGGGCGGGGGAGGGGACTTGCTGTATAAAGCGGACAGAGCTTCAGTCTGGGAGGAGGAGAACGTGCACCTAACGGTGGTTAAGACCCTAAACGCGGCGCTCTGTGTGTTCCGCCACGATAAAAGAGTTTTAAGTCCAAGCCAGTAAATGAATCAGCAGGTCACAGGGTGGGGGTGAGGGGGACGCCGACTGTCCCTAGCAGCCTGGCAGCCGGGGCCGGGGGACAGGCAGCTCCCGGGGTTCAGCGAAGGTCTGGCCTGACCTTCTCGAAGCTGGTGCAGGACAGAGCGTCCAGCCACCACCTGCTGGTTTGACAGGTGAGGAAACTGGGCCCAGGAAGCAAGGCTGTCGCTCAGGGTCACCCAGCGTGCTAGGTGGCCAGGGCAGGGCAGGGCCTCGCCATCAGAACCTGGGGCCACCACCCTCGGTCAGTGTCTGGGGGCTGTGGCTCCCTGGGCTGGGACCCTACAAGCCACGCGAGGCCTGCCTGGGGAGGGCGTGTGGACTCTGGCAGAGCCCTGGAGGGTGACCGGCAGAGGCCACAGGGTGGGGACAGGGGTGGCGTGTGCCTCAGTGGTCTCAGGTGGCCTCCCCACGGCAGAAGGGCTCCGGGGCCTCCTGTGTGGTTATTTTCTGCTCCCCCCCGACACCACCTACCAACTACGTCCTTACCCAGGGCCCCGGTGTCACGCCAAGAAGGTGGCTGTAGTAACAACAACTGAAAATCTGTGTGTGACCCCGATCGCCGTTCAGCCGCCCTCCCTGCAGCAGCACGGCCAGCTCGGGCGGGAAAGGCAGGGTTGGCGGGCGCCCCTGCCGTCTCTGTCCCCAGCCATTTCCTGCTGTCCCCAGGCCAGGTCCCCCGCCCACGGCCCACCGGTCCTCCCACAGCTAGGCTCTTACCGGTGGCACCTTGGTGGCGGAGCCTGGAGTCGGGGGCCCTTCCTCCCTGGGCAGCGCCGGGCCGTTGGGCTCCATGTCCTTCCCTGCAAGAGAGCGGCCAGGGTAAGGCCCGCATGTGGGCGGGCGGGGCTGCCTGTGTGTGCGGCGTGCAGGGCTGGGTGCAGCCTGGGAGGGGCAGGAAGCAGCAGGGGTGGCAGGGCTGCAGGACACTGCCTGAGAGGTCTAACCGGTGCCAGCGAGCGTCACCGCTGGGAGGGCCTCGGGAGCTCTGGCCAGGCCTGCAAAACCCGCAGGGAGGAAGCCGGGGCGGGGCTGGAGGGCGGCCAGCGTCCTGGGCCTGGTGTGGCGTGGAGTTTGGGGTCTGTAAGGCCCGGTCCCCCAGTTTCCAAAGAACGTGACGTCCAGGCTCAAAAGCACACAGCGGGTTCTGAGTGCCCGGACCACGTGGCGCTCTGGCCCGAGACCCTCGCCCGGAGTGCTGGGACTCTCGGAGGGCGGAGGTCAGTCCTGGCCCTGCATCCCAAGGGGACAGGCTGGCTGAGGAGGAGGAGGGGGACGGGGTCTGGATTCGCTCCTGGAGAAACGGCCTCCCCTCTCTGCCTCCATCGGCCTCCCCTCTCTGCCTCCATCGTCTGGAAGCTGCGTTCTTGGTTGGGAGGAAGGCGGGGAAGGCTGCAGGGGAGGCCTGATGCCTGGGGGGGACTACTCTGCCTGCTTCCTGCAGGGCTGTGCGTGTGTATGCGTGTGCGCGTGCGTGTGTGCACGTGTGTGCTGGCGTGTCGCCCAGGTCCTCGGTGCTCAGAGGCGGGGGAGGCAGTAAGTCTGGCGGCGTGAGAACCTCTGGGGGCTGGGGGCTGGGAGCGGGGAGGACAGTGCCCACAGACCAGCTGGGGAGCCCTGCAGACCCGCCTCCCCAGAGCCCTGCGCAGGGGCTGAGGACCGGAAAGGCCGGCACGCTCACCTGAGGAAGTGGCTCTGCCCGAAGGCCCTGGAACGGCGCAAGGTTACCGGACATCGCCGTGCCCGGCCGGCGTGGCTGCCGCTCACGTGGTTGAGCCCCGGGAGCCTTTGCTTCCCATCTGCACGGCGCCCCGGGCCCCAGTCCCGGGCCCGGCCAGAGGGGCCGTCCCCACCCTCAAGGGGCCTCTCCTCGGGTGCTCCCGAGAGCCGCGTGAGGCCTCCCGGCTGGGAGGACTCAGGGCCACTCCAAGCAGCGGAGCACAGCGCCGGTTCTCCTCGAAGCCCGCCCACGTCCACCACCCCCCTGCACTGGGCCAGCGCTCTGGTGACCGACGGTCAGCGGGGACCAGCCCTCCCCACCCCCGACAGGCACCGTGCAGGCCGGCGGTGACCCTGGCAGCAGAATTTTCAGAGGCTGCAGAATTTTCTTCCCCACGTGTTGCGTTTTCCTGCATCCTTGGCCTCCGTGTGACTTTTGACAAGGCCCTCTCGGCTCTAGGCCTCGGTTTCCCCATCTGCTGGGTGGGACTTTGGCTGCGATGGCCCCAAGGCCACCCCAAGTCTGGGGAGTGGTCAGCACAACGCACTCCCCCAAAGGCCAGGGCAGGCCAGGGAGGGCCTGCGCTCACCCCAAAGCAGGCGGTGGGAGGCGGGGTGGGCACAGCCAGGGAGAGGCCCCCCAGCACTGACACCTGCCGCCACCTCCCAGCCCTGGTGCACCTGGAAAGAAGGGCTGGGCTTGCAGGGAGATGGCAGCCATGCACAGCAGAGGGCGATCAACTCAGACTCGGCTGGGGTGTGGACAGTGAGGTGACAGGGAGGGTGAGGTGACAGCCCTGGCCCCACGCTCTGTGCTCAGCGTTTTATCCGCAAGCCACAGGAGAGCAGGCTTGGTCCCAATTGTTCCCTCCCAGAGCCTGGGACCCTGCAAAGCTGGGAGCAATACTAATATCGTCTCCATTTTACAGATGAGTAAACTGAGGCTTGTGCGAAACAGCTGACCTGGGGCCACCCAGCCAGGACGGAAGGGCTAAAGCTCAGGCCATCTGTCCCTGGAGGCTGTGTTTGGGACAACTGCACCACGCTCCCTCTCCGGGGACAGCCAGTGGCCCCCCGAGGCTGGGCTGTGGAAGCCCCCCGGACCACCGGGGCTGAAGGGCTGCGCCTGGCCCCGCAGTCACGCCTGGCGGCCATGCGACCCGGCCCTCGAGGAGCTGCGGCCGCTTTGCCCATCAGACCTGCGCAACCCCAGCGTTGGGGGAGAGCCAGAAAGGTGTCATTCCTCGGACCCCGAGGGGCGGAGAGGGCCCAGGCCGCCCGAGGTCGCGCTCACCTGGGCTGAGCGGGTCCAGCTCATTCTCCCCACCGAGGAGCAGGTTCCGGGCGAGTTTCCGGGGGTCCGCCTTCTGCGGGGTGGAGGCAGGCGGGCACAGGGAGAAGCGGCGCCGGAGAAAGGCCTCCTCCTTCATGGCGTGGGCGCTCGGGGGCTTCTGGAAGGAGGAAGGAGGGGATGCAGGGTTACACCCCAGGCGAGGCCAGGACAGCCGGGATGCCGGGGCAGGAAGGGGCCACAGGCATGTCAGAGCCACGTGGCAGGGGAGGTCCCCTCTGACACCCAGGTCCCCTCTCAGGGGACTCCTGAGACGGCTGAGGCAGGCCCGAGTGGCCTGGGGCCCGTGGGGGCAGCTGGCCGGGGCAGGCCACGCAGTGGACCTCAGGCACGTGGCTTTCCCAGGCCCGGCGGGAGCCCTGGTCCCCCTGCACCCCGGCTGGGCAGCCGCCAGAAGACAGGCTTGCGACAGGGCACAAGAAGCCCCCACCCTCAGGTTCTGCAGGACCCGGGCAGGCCCAAGCTGGCCCACCTGATGTCCCTCCCAGGTGTGGGCGCCCATGGCGGGGAGGGGCCGACACAAGGCAGGTGAGACCAGGTGGCCTTAGTGTGCTGGGGAGCAGCTGGTGCCAGGCGGGCAGGGCAGCTGTCCCAGCTAAGGATGCCTCGAGGCCCTCCCCTCCCCAGCTTCTGCGGTCAAGTCCGCCTCCTGCTTGGTGGGGCTCAGCTGCTCACGCCTTCCGAGTGCGCCTTAGCAAGCAGAGCAAGCGCAGGTGTGCTCAGGGCCAGGGCCCCGGAATTCACGCCCAGGGCAAGTTCCCACCTTCCTGGTGGGAGCATCCTCCAGCGACACAGCCCCCAGGTCCAGCCAGGGCAGCCCCGAGGGGGCCACAGCCAGTCTCCCCGTCTGCCCGCACATTCCCCGGCCGCTGAGGCGGGTCTGCGTCTCCCAGTCGGTCCCGGAGCCGGGGTCTGTCTCCTGGCCTGGAGCCGGCCGTGGGCAGGAGGCAGCGCCCTCTCCCCCGGCCCCCCACAGCCCAGGCCGAGAGGACAGTGCCGACGCCCCACCCATTCCAGGCACTTTGGAGATGACGGCGCCAAACCCACCGAGCCCTCAGCCCGTTTCACAGATGGGAAAATCGGGGTTCCTGGAACGGAAGGCCTTGCCTCATGGGCATGGCCTGGTAGGTGTCGGCAGAGTGGGGACTCTGGCTCCTAATCCCCCATCTGTCCACTCCCCCAGGACGAGCTCCTCAAAGACCCAGCCGCTCTTCCTCCTTTCCCGATTTTCCAGGGCTGCTGGGCAGCTGTGGCTTCCCGCCAAGCCCAGGACAAAGGCCCACTTTCCCCACGGCTTTGGGCCTTCCTGGGCGGGGACCTCAGAGGTGCAGAGCTGTTCCTGCTGTGGCTTAGGGACCGGGCGGGGCTTCAGGAGTGGGCTGGGCGGCCCTGGTGTCTGTGGTCCTGGTGGGCTCTCTCCATGGCCCCAGAGCCCCCTCGGTCCCCGCGGCCTGGGGCCAGAGCGAGGGGCTCTAAGGCTGCAGCTGGCGGGGCTGCCTCCCCCCCTTCCCAATCACTGTCATGCCACCGGGCACCTGGATCAGCTCATTACCCTTGTCACCTACAGGCAGGGAAGCTGGTTTCAGACAGTGTGGGGTTTGGGGCCCGGGTCACACAGCTGACAATCGGCAGTGCCTGTCCTCGCGCCACACGTCCGACCCGTCCTCCCACTGTACATGTCACTGCCCGACTCAGCCACCCGTGGCAGGGAGGGACCCTGGGTGGTCCTGCCTCCTCCACAGTCGCAGCAACCACATCCTGCCTGCCCAGGTGTGGCCCGGGCCAGGAGCAGCCAAGGTGAGTCGCAGCGGTCCCGCCCTCCGATCCACAGGGGGTCCGGGCCGTCCCCGGCAGTGTCGGGGACACAGGACAAAGGCACGTGCCCCTCACCTGGAGCCTCCCGGGGCAGAGACAGGCGCTCTGGCCTGCACGGCCCAGCCTCTGCTGCCCTGTCTGGCCACCTGCCCCGGCTCCACCTGGCCAGGCTGGGGAGGGCACGGGGGTCTCGGCCACTGTTTTTCCCAGGCCCCCCACGCCCTCCCAGCCGCACTGATGACCAGCGAGACTCCCCGGCGTGTGAGCTCCACCACACACGCATCCTCAGGCCACGCTCCCATCCATCCATCCATCCACGCACCCTCCCCTCCCTTCTCTTCCCTCCCTGCGCGGACCTTTCCAGCCAGCCGCCGTCCAGCCGATCGCCCCCTTCCTCCCCATTCACCACACTCGGCCCCCCAGACGTGGTCTCCGACCGCCGCCACACTGCTGGCAGGGAACGGAGCCCCGCTGACCGGGCGCCACGCGGGCGTGTGCCAGCCACCGCCGCTCTGCGACCAGGGCCGGGCCCTGCAGACGCCCCGGCTGCTCGGACAGGGAGGCCTCGCGGTCTGCCGGTCTCCCGGAGACATCACCTGCCTCGGTCCTCCTGATGCTCTGTGGCCAGCGGGGGCCTGCTGCGTGCCCCACGGTGCCCAGGCCCCTCGGGGGGCCTTTTGTTCATTCTGCAGGTAGGTCTGGGTCACGTCTCCCCGGAGCCCCTCACGGCGGCATTTGGAGCAAATCCCGTCTCATCTTGGTGCTGTCGCCCAGGCCCCCGCCTCACCCACTCTGCTCCGCCACACAGGCCCCTTTCTGCTCCCCCAAAATGCCAAGCCCATGCCCACAGCAGGGCCTCTGCGCTGGCCCTGCGCCCCGCGGGGAATGCGCTCGCCCACGTCTCCGCGTGGCTGGGTCCCTCTCGAATTCCACACTTGGCTTAAATGTCACTTGCCAGGGGCTCGGCCCTCCTGCCGGCTGGCACAGTGCAAATTCCCCACATAGCACTTGGAGTTCTCGGAGAGCTCTCCTTCGTGTTGCTTTATTCTTTTTTGGGGGGGGAGGGACAGGGTCACACTCTGTGACCCAGGCTAGCGTGCAGTGGCATCATCATAGCTCACTGGAGCCTCCAAATCCTGGGCTCAAGCGATCCTCCTGCCTCAGCCTCCCAGGTAGCTGGGACTACAGGTGTGTACCACAATGCCCAGCTAATTTTTAAATTTTGTATAGAGACACAGTCTTGATACGTTGCCCAGGCTGGTCTTGAATTCCTGGCCTCAAGTGATCCTCCCACCTTGGCCTCCCAAAGTGCTGGGATTACAGGCATGAGACACTGCACCTGGCCTGTATTTCCTTCTCCTTTGTGAACTCGCTTCTCTCCACCAGGTGCGAGCTATAGGTGAGAGGGTGGTCAACGTCTAACTTGCTCACGGCTCTGTCCCAGCACCCACAGAGAGACACGGGCTGCCGCATGGCTCCAGGGCAGGGACTGGGCTGTGCAGGGAGAGTTCCCCAGGGAAGGCGCCCAGAGCAGCTGTCCTGGGGTGTCCCCTGCCTTCCTGTCCCCACTCTGAATCTCCAGGGCAAGGGCAGGTCCCCAGAGAGGTGACCAGGGTTAGTTTTGCAGCTGATTCCCACTGTCGCCCTGGTGGCCCTCTACCACACCAGGTGTGACCTACGGTCCCCCAGGTCCCCCAGGCCCTCTGCACAGGCTGCCAGGTCTGACGTGGTTCCTATAACACCCACATGGTGTGGGGACTCGTCACATTCTGAAGATGCAGAAACCCAGGCCCCAGGACGGAAGTGACCGGCTGAGGGTCGTGCCTCAAGCCGTGCTTAGGGTCACCTCAAGGGACCAAGCTCCAAGCTCCAAGCTCCAAGCTCCAAGTCCCCTTTGCACTTGGAGATAGTTGAGGGGGGGCCCAGAAAGGAAGACAGGGGTGCTGGGGGCCGGGCCTCCCCCCAGACGTGACCACAGTGTGGCCGAGCCTCAGGAGGGGGCAGGAAGTGGCCTGCCTGGCTCCGGGCGCGGCCTCAAGCCCTGCAGGTGTTCTCTGGGCTGACTCAGCCACCAGGCCCAGCCTGGCCCCCTGTGCCTGTCCCCCACCTCCTGACCAACATGGGGCCGCTGCAAGCTCGGTGCCGTCCCTGCCCGCTGTGGCCACTGGCCCGAGCACAGCCACTGACCACTTCCCCTGCAGCAGACCACCCCCGGCCAGTCCTAGGAAGCCCCAGCCATGGGGGCCAGGCCTGGTGTGGCCCCCCCAGACCCTGTGCCCCCACCCCAGTGGAGAGGAGACTTTGATTCCGGGTGCAAACTGCGGCCCGCGGCCGGTCTCTGGGCGTGGACAGAGGGCAGGCGGGGGCGGCGGGTGGAGGAGGGGCGGCAGTTGGCCAGGAGGCAGGGGCCAGCCGGGGCCAGGGCCCGACCCACCCTCGTACCCGCCACGTGAGCCTCACTGTCCTCAACTGAAACAGGACGCGTCGTGGACTGGGCTCCCGGGGTGACCGGACACCCCCTCTGGAGGAGACGCTCGCCCGCTGTGCTGTGGGCCGGCCTCTGCTCCAAAGGCCCTCGGCATGCTGGGGGGCTCTCCGGGGTGCCGGCGTCATCCTTGCTGGCTGTCCCACCCGGGCTCCTGTGCCTGGCAGGCCGCTGCCTGCCTGGGTGGGGGACAGACGGACGAGTGGCTGGGCCACAGCCGCCGGGGGACACACGGCTGCAAAGCCAGGGAGACATGGTGGCTCACGCCTGTGATCCTAGCACTCTAGGAGGCCGAGGCCGGAGGATCGCTCAAGGTCAGGAGTTCAAAACCAGCCTGAGCGAGACCCTGTCTCTACTAAAAATAGAAAGAAATCAATTAGCCAACTAAAATATATAGAAAAAATTAGCTAGGCATGGTGGCGCATGCCTGTAGTCCCAGCTACTTGGGAGGCTGAGGCAGGAGGATCGCTTGAGCCCAGGTGTTTGGGCCGACACCACGGCACTCTAGCCCAGACGACAGAGTGAGACTCTGTCTCAAAAAACAAAAAAAGAAAAGAAAAGCCAGGGAGCGACAAGGCAGACCACGTGGCCTGGACGAGACCTCCTCCCTCCCCAGCAGGACGGCCGCGACCCGGGTCAGGCCAATGGGGAGAGGAGCCCGGGTTTACCCTGCCCCAGCCCCTCCTGCCTCAGTCTCCCCCACTGCCGCCTCCGTGGGGACCTCCCACAGCTGTTCCTGGTCAGGGCACCCCGGGTGGGTGTCAGGCAGTGGATGCAAGGCTGGTGCTAAGCGGCTTGAG